TGTTTAGCATTAAAATGTATTATTTTAAATAACTCAAGGAAAGAGTTATACAGAATAATATGCATTTCAATAATGAAGTCTTATATCGTGATGCACAGGTGCAAAATCATTGAGAAATCAAACATGTGGATTATTAAAAATGACATTTCCATATTGGATCAGAAACGTCCAGAGTTAACGGTGATGTGAAACAGCTGGAGATGTACAGATGTTCACTGGGAGCGAGCAGGATTAGAAATAAGTCCGCCACCTCAGGTCGAGCAAAGTTAGAGGCTGAGATGATTTGGACATGTGCAGAGGAGGGAGGGTGGATACGCTGGACTAAACACGCTGGAGATGGAGCTGCCAGCTGAGGAAAAGAGGAAGAAGAGAGAGAAGATTCATGAAGGTAGAAAAGGAGGAGCATGCTAAGGGTCGGGTCAGATGGAGGCAGATGATCTGCGGTGGTGATCCCCACAGCAAAAGAAGAAGAAAGTTAATAATAGACTCTAAGTGGACATTCATCACACATTCATCATTTAGTTTTACTGATTCTGATCCAGTCTGGGGCTTTTCTCTGTAAACTCTCCAGGTACTCCTCCTCCAATCACACAGATGGGGTAAACTGGTGACTCCAAACTGACCGTAAGTGTGAATGGTTGTCTGGCCCATTGACAGCCTGTCTGCAGTGTCTCAGCCGGGTATAGGTTCCAGCCCCCCCACGACCCGGACGTGGATAAGCAGACTGGAATTTGACTGTTTTTCAGGGGTATATGGGTTTGTGTGTTCCCTTTTGTAGTTTGAACTGTGTGTGATCTTCTGTTGCGCCACACATTAGAGAAGATGTAAGCAGCGCGGTGATGACAGCCTCCCTCACACTTTAATCTTCATTCTTATTTTGTTAATCGAGTTAATCAAAGTGTCAGGTTACGACTGAAGTCACCAAACCAGCAAATCTGACTTCACTTGACTTGTTTCTACACTTTGTTCCTGCTGCATGTTTGATTCTTGGAAGTAAAACTACAAGTAATTAAATTCGGGCTGAAAAGAACAACCAAAAGCTCTTTTGTTCCCACCAAGTGAAGCAGGTGATCATGACAGAGGCATGGCAGGACCTCCCGCATCGCCGTATCGCTCTGTTGTAAACCCCAAAGTTCATTCTTTTCAGCCTTCGCATACTTCTCATTCTTAACACGGCGCTATCTGTGGAAGCTCATTCTTCACTGAGATTAAGCAACAATCCAAAAAACACAAGTCACCTGATTTAATATGCGTGGAAGGGAGATAAGCTGCAGCTTACTCATATTTGTTAAAGCTGCATCGCTGCAGGGATTTCTCCCCGCCTGCAGTTTCTTTTTATCTGAGTGAAAATGTGACTTCACTGCACCTGTTCTGAAGAACAGCAGGCAGATATTAATCTGATGACCTGAGAGGAACTCAGCAACAATGTGTGTGAGAGAGAGAGCTCCACAAAAACAAGATGTGAAGAGAGGGAGGGTCTGATCGAGAAACCCAGAGACCACCAGACCTTCGTACACGACCAACCGGCCAGTCACAACGCAGACTGCTCCTACATCATATTCTCCTTAAAAATCTGTTTTTATACTAATAATCACCTTATATGTTCCCCTTATAGTTCACTGTAAATGTCTGCCTGCACTACAGGCAGGAAGTAAAAACAAATAAACAAATTAATTTACTGTTTTTGAAGGATTTTCATGCCAAACCTTACAAAACTTTAAAAATTCATCACGTAATATTCTCATTTATTTCAATTGGAATTGGAATCAAAGATGTCACATAGAAAAAATCGTAGTTACACTTTTACTAATCATAAAAACTTATTGCAGGGATGTTAAAGTCATTAATATGGTGGGACACACACAGCCCACTTTGATGTGGAGTGGGCTGGAC